GCATACAAAAGGCAACAAAGTTTAACAAGTTTAGCATATATTACATAACTGTCAACTTTTATTCAATGTTGTGACTTTTGATTTGTGCAAAAATAGGAAAAGTGTCCTTTAAAAAACATACTTGAGCTGCAAGGTTAACTCTCATAATGAAAAAGATGTTAAATTGATATGCTCATATCCAATCTTGTTTAACAAGTGAATGTCCCTGGTTCGATCATCCATTATCAACTCTGAAAGATGCCTCCATAATATTGGATTACCATTCTGTGAAAACAAGGATTATAAAAAACATCTTATTAGGAATTAAGTAGACCATCCAACTTTTAATTAAATATTAGGTGGTCTATGATTTAATCAAATTTATCAAATGGAAAGGTATATACTATATTAAATATGCACATACCCATAGACTTCTGGATTTCCGATGTGCCTCAGAATTGGCCCAGCAGTTCCTGGTAGTCTTTATTAAGTGGGGTACATCAGACACAAAATAAATGAATCTTTCATCATCACTCCATAAATTTCTAGTCTTGAACACCACCATATCCCGCGGAGCACCTTTTACTCTATGCATACGGTAGAACTTCCGGTTCCATGACGCTCCATCACTGGTGGACACCATTACTTTTAGGTTACATGTGACTTCCAACCAGGTGATCGTATCCCATATTATTGGATACAAATTGTCAGACTTGCAACCATCAGTGGGAAAGTAGCCCAGGCTCATTTGTAAACTAGATGCTAATCCTCTTACCATTAGCACCAAGACATGACTGGCAAGTCCTAGACCTTTATTCTTCTCTATGTGACAGCCATTCTCTAGCTTCATCAGCTCCTCATTTATATCACCCAAGTTGGTGAAGCCAATCAGTTCCCCAGTGTTCTTATCATAGTGTTCTTATCATTATCTTGCTTAACCTTCATTTCATCATGAAGTAGTACTACATATTTATTTGACTCTGATGACCCAAGACACTCAATTTCTGAAATAAGTTCCTTCAACACTGGTTGACTAATTCCTGGTTTGGGCTTAATGTAATTTGAGTAGTCTGTTAAAGTTCTTTGACTAGGCAGTTTCACGAAACCGGAACTCCTGAGTGCTTCATAGGCAGAAGACGACTTAAATTTCAAAAACAAGCACCAACGTATTATTGTGGGATGCCATCGCATTTGTCGACTGTCTGAACACCTAGCATGTCTTAATTGTTCCTCCCAAAACAAATGCTGGAAACTGTCCTCTGGGTACACTTTCTGCACATCATGATTGTTTTCCTCCATTATAGCTTTAAAGTCGCTCTGTAATGTCCCATCAATTGCAATCCCTTCAGATGAAACAAGTTGTTTCACAGTTCTGCTCAAGGACCGCTTTAAAGTCATCTTCTCTTTCTGGCAAACTTTTGTATGGCTTCACCACTGATACCAGATTTCTAATCACTGCTATAACAATTACAAACACGATCTAAGTTTGATCTGAAAAAAACAAATTGAGAATTAACACAACAATAATAAAAACAGCATTGGGCACTTTTTTGAACTTCAACCTTAATATTAATTCTAATAAAATAGTAGTTGAAGTCGGAAAAGTGTGTTTGGGAGGGTTGCTAAATTCAGATACTCGCACCATAACATCGACTATGGTCGTTCGAAACGCCATCTTGAAATAACATCAACAAATTTTGTATGGTATAAATTCACAGTGATTTTCTGACAGGAATATCGGAATACGACAACACCAAAATGATTCAGTTATTTCTAACATATATATCGATGGTCATCAAAAATCTTAGGCATCAATATTTAAAAAAAAAACTTTGAACAGTCGTTTTCTTCGAGCGGTACTCGACCAACATCTTGCTTCGTGGTGAATACAAGTATCTACGGGGCAAAACTAACGGTAAAATAGCCGACTGAAATGAACCCCTTAATGCTGCGTCTACACAAAATAATCTATATTGGGGAACAATTTAAATATCAAACTACATAAATATGATGAATTTGGTCGTTTTACCGATAGGAACGCATTTTCACAGGGTTGAAACTTTTTGTACAGTGTCGCCATAACACGCCACTCTGCAATGACCGGTGGTGACTGTGACGGTCTGAAATTGAAATCTCGATTTTTTAAATTAATTCAATGAATATACCTTTTAAATTACACGTACCTTATCAGAAAGTCTTTACGAGTACTATTACACGCGTATCTAGGAATATTTTCGGAATAAACTGTATAAAACAGCACAAGTTTCACTGGAGCAGAACGGAAGACAATTCAAATTCAGAAAGACGCCGTGATGCTATGACGTCATCGGCTTCACTCCACAAGCATAACGCGCACTGTTACCAGCGGTCGGGGGATTAACACCTTAGAACAATAGCGTTTCCCAACCGGGTGTTGAGGGACTGTGATCACCTATCAAATCAGTTTGAGGTGATTTCGCATCAAGTTGCATCAACACATTCCGGCGTCACAATTTACGTATTTCTTTCAAAAAAG